AGTCATACATGAATGAAAGCACCGTGAGAGGAGGGGCCTCACCTGTCTTGTTCGATTTCCAGAGCCTAAAACAGAGTTGGGCTCACTACATAATTACACCTGTTGTAAATTAAATATGGCCACAAATGCTCTGTAGCTCCTCCCACCAAGAGGAGGAGTCTATTTCACCATCATCGAAATCCAGACTAGCCGCGTGACAGTCACCGATCAGAAAACACAATGGAAGTGACACTGTGCGACTTCCAAATCTTAAGATACCTTGCAACTTTCGCTCTTGCCCTCTTGGAACACTGGGGACATGTAAGAAACACAGGCTATCCCACTGGAGACGCCACATGGAGAGAGAGGCTCAGCTGTCTCAGCCACCAGCCAATCCGCCAGCTGATGTGGTAACATGAGGGAGCCGGGGCAAGAACAGCAGAAGTACCGCCCACCCAATCCCAGTGCCCAGAATCATGGGAAATAACAACTTGTCTGAAGTCCAAAGTTTTCTAAATATGATTAAGTCTAAGGATGGTTTGTGACACCACAATCAATTATAGAGACTGAACATATGGCGGCCTGCGGACCAAATAATTGGTATGTGTATGGCTACATTGTCCTTGCTATGTAAGGAGATTCTGTATGTATCCACCCCCACCCCAATCCCTGGTGTTTGCCTCCCCTTCTATTCTAACCAAAATAGAACCCAGGTCACAACCACCTGCACTTGGCCAGCGCCCGCCATTCCTAGCGTCACCTGCCTGCCTTTCAGATGGTCTGGGTGCCTCTAAGGTCTTTTCTGTCCCATTCGCCTAGCAGACCATGGATCTGCAAGCTAACTTGTGGGTTAGGGTTATGGTTATGGTTAGAAAAAAATATCAGTAAGAAAACAATACTTTGTAACGTGAAAATTATATCAAATTTGAATTTCAGGGTCTACGAATAGTTTCATTGGAAAACGTTCACTTATGTATTGTCCATGGCTGCTGTGTGCTGCAAAAGCAGAGCTGAGTGGTTGTGATGGGAACCACATGGCCCACAAAGCCTTAACTATTCACTACCTGACGGCCCCTGCTACAGGCTGCCATCAGGCTAACCTTTAATCATCTTTTTTACTGTATTCAGTCCCAAACTTTTGAAGACTTCTGTCTCCTCCCTCAAGGGGATGAAACTTGGTGCGACGTCAGGTCCCAGGAGTTAGCAACCTAAATTCGTTTCCAGTGACACTCTCTCAGGTAATGATCCATTGTGTGTCTTCCCTGGGTTTGTTCTTCTTGACCAGCAAGCCACCTATTGCGATCTAAACCCTCCCCATTCCTCACTGCACTCAGGGTCCCCAGGTCCCCAACCAGGATAGCTTCCCTGCTTTGCCAAATGTTTCCCCAGGTGAATTCTATGGAACATCAGTCCCGAGAGATGGCTCTGGAAAAAGGAAACTACAGGCTCTATCCCTTTGAGTCACAATATACGTATCTGGCATCTTAAAGGCTCTGAGAAGTCTTGCAGTAAAGACACCTGTTTCCCTTTGCTTAACTCAACCGTTCCCAAACATATGAACCATAGGATACGTTTTGTCTACAGAACACTGGTTGACTACCAGCATCTAGTACAGTGCCTGGGTTTCAGCATTGGTAGAAAGAATGGAAAACAACAACATTCCACAGAACTAGGAATCCACAGAACATTCTTTAGAAATGCTGCTCAAGCTCTTGCTTCTCTCTCTTCCATCTGAGGTGTTCCCATCCATGTCTTCTGTTCCACACATGTAATGCTAATCACAATAGCTATCATCCACTCAGCACCTGCAGACACTGTGCTAGAGACCGCATGAGACCCTTGAAAAAGTCATCTCTTTTAATCCTCACGACCACCCCTGAGGTAGGTGAGTTATTCTATCACTGCCATTTTGCCAAACATTAAACCATGGGTCAGAAAATTTAAAATCACTGGCCCAAGATAAAGCAAGTAGAAACGCTAGAATTCGAAACTACATCAGTCTAACTCCAAACCTCATGATCTTTCTCCTCCGCCCAAGTCTGTCCCTAGGACACACTGTGACTGACGTGCTGGCTATCCACCTGATATCCCTCCCTGCCTTCCTCCATGCTAGCCGAACCCTGGTTTGTATGAAGAGGCAACAGGTCAACCAAGGCAATGGATCGTGACCCACCAAGCCAATCACAGTGGTGTTGCAACCAGGACAAGCATTTGACCCAGTTCTGGACAAGAAGACATAATTATACATCATCTATGGGGGTAGGGAGGAGGAGCTGTCCTGGGAGAGCCGAACAAAGATACGGACCAGTTATGCCTTGACCCTCCCCCAGTTCCCCTCCTTCCTGCCTTGAACTTGGTGTAATGGCTGAAGCTTCAGGGGCCATCTTGCCACCATGAGTAGTTGCAAAGACATCAGCTCTGATATTAACTTACTGAGCCAAGGACATACCTCCAGACTTCTTGTTACATAAGAAAAAGGAGCCATTATTTGATTAACCACTGTGGCTGGATTTTCCATTCCATGCAGCTGAACCCATTCCTAATGGACCCATATGTTTTTCCCCATATTACTTACTGTTTGGACTTAATCATTATTTCACATGTAGATCATTAGCCTTGCCTCCCTAGCCACGAAGTACACTTCCTGAAGGCTAAGCCCTTGCTGTACATTTTTGTTTCTATAGGGGTACAGGCGTGTTAGTAAATTTTGCTAATTACCAAGGTTTTCGGGGATAATCGGTTCGATTTAATACTTTAGTGTTTGGGAGCAGGGAGCTGTCGCCATCCCATAGCTGAGAGATGTGTATCTATCTCCTAACAGGTTAGTATTTCTCAAAGTGTCAATATGAAAACATACCTCAGAAACAGCTGACCTGTTTGTTAAATGCAGGTTCCTGGGCCACCTCCAGTCCCAACTGAATTAGACTCTCTGGGGTTAGAGGATGGGAACTGCATTTGCAACAAGCTCCCTGGGTGGTTTGGGTATACAGAATTTGAGAAGTGTTGGGATCTAAAAACCCTGTGGGTTCCAGGCGTGCCTGGGGTTTGGCAGAACTTGGCTAGACCCCGAGTCACCAGCCCCTCACCAGTGGCCCCACCCCAGCCCTAAAGATCTGGGAACTTGAGACCCTTCCATGGACAATACGGATAAAGCGATTGGCACGCCCTGAGGCATATTGGGACCAGGAAACGAACGAACAGATGCGATCTCAATCACTGTAACATCCCACCACGCCAGTGTCTCATCCCCCAATGTAAAAAGAAAACCACACGGCAGAAAAGCAGCAACAGAGCCCAGGGCCGACTGCGACCACCGCCACTGTCCAGGGAGTTATGGGAGGACAGAGCACGCGAACAGAGGAAGAGACGGCCGGAGAAACTTACACAGACTAGCGTGGGGTTCGGGCTCAGAGCAGCAGAAGAGACGGCAGGTGGCCCTGTGGTTTATTTGTTTATTTACTGCATGCAGCTCTGAAGAGAATCATACCTTGGGCACTGCTCAGACCGAAGGCTGGGTCAGGGCAGCCCACACCTTTTCTTCCAGCAGCAGAATCCTAGCCCAGACTGTTCTCCCAAAGCTCCGAGAAAGAAAATACCTGTGCCTCCCCACAGAATTTCCACTCCTCTGATCCCCCCTGACATTCATCTTATTTCATTTCTAAGGATCATTTTCCCCGATGACAGGTGCACAGAGCCATGTATTTCCAGGGTAGCAAACAGGATATTCAGTGCGCACACACACGCACACACACACGCACACACACGCACTCACTTTCAAAATGATGACCTTTCTGCCTGCTGACATCCAGCCAAATTCAAAACCACGGAGGAAAAAGAAAGACCTGAAAGTGAATCCGAGAGAGGTGGTCATCCAGACCACACGGGGGTGGGAGGAGGTCCGGGCTACCGAAGGGCTAAAAGATTCAATTAAGGGCTGAAGAGTTCAGGCCTTGGAAACTCAGGGACTGCCAGCTGCTGGGAGTCCCCAAATCTAATCAAGCCATGTGGCCAGCGGGGCCAGTCTGAGAAAGGGCAGTGAGCCCAGCCCTTCGAATGTCTCAAACGACCTGGATGCCCAGGGATTCTGTGGACACCAGGCACAGCCTACGGCTCCTGAACCCTTCCTCCTTTGACCCAGTGGCCTTCGGAAGAAATAACTGCTGCCATCTTCTTTCTGAGCAACTTTGCATCCACCCTACCCCGCCCCCCACCAAGTGCTTCGAACTCCCCCTCAAGTTCTGTTAGAGAGAATGTTACAACAGCCAAAGGTAACGCCTCCATCTCCACCTTTCCTCGGGGTCCCACCGCGATTCAAGAGTATTTCCCCACACCACTTGTGTGCTGATCCGGGCATATTTTTCAAAATCTTTTTTTACACATTTTAGGCCTGCAGCAGCTCCTGCATCAAAGTAATTGGATTGAAAATGGGTAGCTCAATGGGGATATTTTTTAATGCATCTTGCCTCCTGACATGTACATCACTGAAAAACAAACAAAACAAACAAACAAAAAATCCAAGGAGCAAAAGGGGGGCTGGGACAGAGGCGGAGAGAAGAAGAGGTCCCTAATCCTAGGCAACCCCATTCTGCGAGCAAAAGCCACCTTTTGACCACCTGCAGAATGCGCAGGATCACGTGGGTTCTCTGCAGCGCCTTAATGTCTTACCCAGCACACAAGCCCCCGTGGCATATAAACAAATCCACAAGCGGAAAAGACAGAGAACTCACTCCTCGGAGAGGAAGCGAGTGATAATAACGGCCGCAAAAATAATAATAAAGAATAACAATTACTACTACTACTACCACCACCCAGCCAAGCGTAGACGACAGCGGTACAGTAAAGGGACATCCTCTGCAGGCTTTGCAAGAAGATAAATCACGGAAAACCACATCGTGCCCCGCTCGCTACCCTCCCGCCCCCACCCCGCAACAAACAGAATCAAAGGAAAGGGGGCGGTGGGGAGAGAGGGGAGGGGAGGAAGGATTGCAACCCCCCGCCCGCCCCCCGTGAGCAGCACCTACCTCCAGGGTCCGGATTTCTTTTTGTGTGAGGTCGTTGGAGGTAGCACATTTGGTCCTAAGCCCTTCCAGGTTGGAGATACTCAGGTCTATCATGTTCTGGACCAACTCGCACTGCTGTAAGGCTTTTTGCAAACTCAGAGGCTGCTGCTCCTCGCTTTTCGTCATGTTTTCCTCATCCATCGCTTGCTCTGCAAGCCCCCTTCCCCTCCTCCTCCTCCTCCCAGAGAGAAAAAAGGGGGGCGAGGGGGTGGAGAGGTAGCCTGCCCCCTACGCCTTTCCAACCACTGCGACTCCTCAATGTCTCATGAAGAAGAAACCTAACATCTCACACAGGGTTGAGGGGGTGGGGTGGGAGGAGGGGACAAGAGCCAAAATTTATTATTTTATTTTGGGGTATCAAGCCGACTCCATTAGAATGTCTCCTCTCTCTCTCTCTCTCTCTGAGTCTCTGGCCCCTGAAAAGGAGAGATGCCGTTTCTCAGAAGCAAACCAGGTGATGTGATGCTGTCTGTACACTTAGGGAGGAGGAGGAGGAGGAAAACGAGGAGGGGGAGGAGAGGAGGCGGAGGGAGAGGCGGAGAAGAAGGGAAATAGCGCTCACTCTTTACACACCGGCTCCGTGGAGGGCAAAATTATGTATTTTTGGCTGGCTGGCTTTTATGTAAAAAAAAGAAGAAGAAATCTGGTTTGCCCCCCTCCCAGTTGCAGTGACACGGCATCGTCCGCCGTTTGGGGTGCTTTAGCGCGTTCTCAGGGAGCCGCCTGCATTGCTCCCGCGGCTGCGGCGGCGACTGCGGCTGGCGGCTGTCTCCTCCTCGCGCTGCTGCTGCTGCTGCGGCGGCCGCCGCCGGGCTCCGGGGGTGACGGCTGCTGCATTCGCTCCTGCCTCGCTCCACACCGACATCTTGCCTGTCAATCAAAGGGCGGGGGGAGCGAGGGATGGAGCGCGAGCGAGGGACCTGCAGGGGAGCGGGTTGGTGGAGAGGCGCCGTGCGCGCAGCCGCCCCAGCCGGTGCCGGCCCGGCGCCCCAGGGCCCCGCCGGAGGAGGCGGCGGAGGAGCGCGCGGGCTCGCGCACCTGGCCGGGGCCGGGGCCGGGGCCGGGGCCGGGGCCGCTCCCGGCGGGGGAGGGCGGGCGCGGGGCGGGATTTCTAGGGGATGCGGAGCTCGCGTGGCCAAGTGCAATTACTACTGGGCGTGCGTGCGAGCGGGCGGCGGGCGGGGAGCCGGGAGGCGCGCGCTGCGGCGAGGCTACTCGCCGGGCGGTGGAGGTGGCAGGATGAGCGCGGAGCGCGGAGGCCGGGCGAGGGGCGGGGAGAGGGGACTTCGTGCGGATGGGGGGGGTGGGGGGGCGGGGGCCACTACTACAGCCCCGCTCTCGCGAGACGAGGCCAGAGTGCTGCTCAGCAGGTGCGCTCTGCCCGGGAGCAGGTGTGCGCCCAACTTTAAAACCCGAAGTGCGTGCGGGAGGCGCGTCAGCGTGAACCTGGGCACGTCTTCTCTGGCTCTCTGGCTGTGCGCGCCTGCCTTTTTGTTCGTGTGTCCTTTCTTGTTACTGGGGGGAAAGAAAACAAGCCTGATGTCTTCCATGAGCTGGAGGAAGCTGCCCCCCAGAATTGGTGCCCAGGCCTGCAGTGGCCCTGATGGTGGCTTTCCATTTGGAAGGGGGGGATCTGCTTCACCTGATGGTTACCAACTCCTGCATGATGTGTTCCTAGCCTAACTGACCTTATACCTGCGAACTACGGCTCCAGAATGGCTTTCACATTTTAAAATGGTTGGGGGGAGGGGAAATCAAGAGAATACTTTGTGACGTGAAAATGATAAGACATTCTAATTTCAGTGTCCGTAAATAAAGCTTTATTATAACACCACTCACTTGTGTACTGCGTTTACTTTTGCATTAATTATCACAGCAGAATTGAGTCGTTGCAACAGACACTGTTAGGACTTGCAACACCTAAAATATTTACATATCTGGGCCTTTACAGAAAAGTTAGATGACCCCGACTGATTAAATCACCGAACATATTCTCACCTCCGAGCTCTTTGCACTCTGTGTCCCCTCCGCCCTGGCCACATTTCCCCTCTAATCCTCTCCTGTTGCCTCCTTGTCACTCGGTGTCAACTCAAGTGTCGTGTCAGAGGCTTCATCTTCCTCACCATCTTACAATAATACTCCCAACACAGATCGGCCAAACAATATATTTAGGATAATTAGCAAAAAAAAAAAAAAAAAAAAGCACCTCTTTCTCCAGGTGAACACAGCTCTGTGCCAAGGAACTAGGCCCGTGGGCAGAGTGGAAGGAAACCACTTGAGAAATAGAATGACGGCCAGTGTTGGCAAACCTCTCTCGGACTGTAGGTCACAGGGTTTTCTAGTTCACACAGACCTGAGTCGGCATTTTCAAAATCCCTCCGCTGAGGAGAGGCTGCGGTTCTCAGTCTTTTGGACTATGACGTTTATGGATTCCTGTTCTCTGGTGAAATTATCTTTTCATCTATTTTGTCCCATTACTTGTTTTTCTTGAACATATTAATCAACATTCATTTAAAGACCTTGTTTAAGTCTAATACCTTGGTCACCTGTGAGGTCTGTTTCTATTGACTGTTTTTGGTAATTTAGTCCTGTCTCTTGGCAGGCCTTGTAATGTTCATTGAATGCACTATTGGTGCATGAAAGAAAAAAAAATGAAGAGAGTCTCCAGGTGATGTTATCTAACTCTAGAGAGGGCTCACCCTTTCCCTAGAATATTAGCCTCTCAAATTTTATCTCAACCCTATGAGACTGCCAAAAGTTCTGCTTGTTTCTCTGTCCCCCAACAGGAGGAAAAAGTGACTCAGACTGTCAACTTGCCTCAATACAATTCCTCTCGCTCCAGAATCTTGGCCCCTCTAGTCTTGGTTGCTTCAAAGCTCTCTGAATGCCTTTAATGGTGGTGGTGGTGGTGGTGGTGGTGGTGATTGGATCTGGCCTTTCCAGCTATTTCCAGACCAAGTGGAGACCTGAGCAATGAAAGTAGCCCACAGCGCAGAAGTCATCAGCCGGACTATAACACACAAATGCATTGTTTGACCAGCTCCCTATTTTTTGCAACTGATTGCTTTAGTGGGTATTTGTTATGCTTTATATCCACCCGGCCTCCTTTGAATACCCTTCCTGTTTGGAAAATGCCCCACGTTATGAGTCTCATGACTCCCTAAGAGAAACCAAAGCACCTTTCCAGAAACTTCCTTGCAGCCAGGTTTCATGTGATCGAGGCTCTGTCGTAAAACACATCGCATGAGGTTTCTATGGGAGTGAGCCACACAGAGGCAGAGTCCCTCTGACAGGGAGGACGGCTGCTTCCAGGTGGCCTGCCCTGTGGAGGCTTGGCGTCCATGCTGTGGTCTGGGCCTCCTTCCTGGCTGACAGTCCAAGCCCGGTTCTCCTCTCCTCTCCTCTCCTCTCCTCTCCTCGGGATTCTATAGGCTTTCTAGCCGCCTGTCTTAGTCTGTTCAGGCTGCCATAGCAAAATGCCACAGACTGGGCAGCTTAAACAACAGAAATTGTTCTCACAGCTGTGAAGGCTGGAAATCTGAGGTCAGGGTCCCAGCACGGTCAGGTTCTAGTGAGAGCTCTCCTCCTGAGTCATTCGCAGGACCTTCTCGCTGTCCTCACATGGCAGACAGGCGCACATGGCTTCCCCTTCTCCCAAGGCCCCAGCCCCCTGGGGCTTCACCCTTTTGACTTCATCTTTTCCTCTGAAAGACCTTAAATATACACTGGGGGTAGGACTTCAATGTATGGATTTGGAGGGGGTACAGTTCAGTCCATAGTACTGCCCTGTGAAGGCCCTTCTGCTCAAACTACCTGGAGTAGATTGTGTCATTTGCAATAAAGAACTCTAATATTCGTGACAATAACTCAAAAACAGGAGATGCAACCAAAAAAAAAAAAAAAAATGGGGCTTTCTGGCCTTTCTGGGGAAATGGGATGAACTGGCCATACTGGGGAGCAAGTGGCTGAATGTGAGAGGCCGCTGTCCATTTCAGATGGGACACAGGTTCCAGTTCACTAGCATTCCCACGCAGCCCCCTTCATTCTTATTTCCATTCCCTGCCTGGCCCCTGAAGGCAGCTGCATATGCTGCTCCTCATACAGCTTAAGGTGGTTTGAACCTCGGAGAAATATGAACCTCACCAATTCCCAGCTTGGAGAGCTGGAGCTAACAGATGAGAATTGTGTTGTTGTTGTTTTTCATCCCGGATACTGCATACTACCCCTGAATGACATATGTCTCACGGCTTCATTGTTACCGGGCTATTAGGCTGAACTTGGTAATATCTCATTAGATCCTATCTTTTTTTGTTTCAACTGTAAGAACCGTCTGGTAGCAGAAGTCCAGTCTAGCCCAATCAAAACTTTCCTCTCATCCAGTTTAATACCTTCTTTACTGCCCTGGTCTGGCCCACAGATGCCTCAGGGATCTGCAGTGGGGGCTGGGCAGGTGCGTCCTTTCCCGCCTCCTCTCTAGCTCACCTCCCTGAAGCACAGGGGCCCAGAAATGACTGGGAAAGGGCCCCTCAGCTGAGAACAGGTGAGCACTGGTGTAGTTCTCTCTTGAGTGTCAGGGGCCCTCCCCCCATCCCGGGCTCTTTAACTGGCAGGTCTTTGGAGACCTCCATGGGGACCCAATGCACATTCTAAGTAACCTCTTGCGCACCCCTTTTCCATTCATACCCCAGGAAGTACCACGAATTCTCTTTCTGAGGTCCCCTTGCCAGGCGGGCTGCCCTCCTGGATGCGACTTTTCAGGCTGACTCAAGCCTCAGAATGCACCTTTGCCCTGCTGCTCTCGCTCCTCACCCACCGTCGTGGGCAGCCCCAGGCACCCTTCAACCCGCAATGCGATGCCAGAAACATCACCACCGGCCCCTTGGTGTTCCCAGTCTCGAGAGTGACTCTTTGAACCGTCCTCTCTTGGCTTGGGGGTTGGAAGGGAAGAAGCAGCCTGCTCCCCACTCCGCCCCCTTACAAAGGCCTGTCGGAGAAGCCTCCTCTGGATAAAATCTTGACCTTGTCTTATGTAGGCTGGAGGCTGGTGGTTATTGATGGTCAAAGGACCAGTCTGGCCACCTCTTAACAGAAGGAGGAAGTATTGTTACCCACTGCCTTCACCTTTGAAGCTTTACCTGAAG